CATTTTTGGGAGGTAAACTCAATTCAAATCAGGAGAGTTTAGCTTGATGCCTTGATCATGATACAAGATGGATGCAAAACTCGATAAAAATTGACAGCTTCGACACGTCTGGCGAGCGATTAAGTGAAGAACAAACAAGACTGGACCAAAATAACTTTAAATTAAAACTTAGTAGTAGAAACACTCTTCAAGTATCGTGTTAAAAACAAAATAGTAAAACTAATACTGTGCTACTTACCGGAGTCATGAAATGTTTCCTTTTTTGTGGCTATTTCAGCGTCCGCAAACCACAGAAGTTGGCAATTTAATAAATAAATTTTAAAAAAAAGTTTATGTTAGGAAAATAAAAAGTTTTGATATTTGCTATACTCGCAATTGTGATGGTCAAATCAGGGTGGGCGACAAAAATTTTATTTCATGAGCCCGCGTCTCTCCGCTGACTTTGACCACCAAAATCCGCCATGTTTTTGACCACGCGGCCGCGCGCTAATAATTTATACTAATTTTGTTGACGTTTCCCCTCCAGTTATTATAGAACTCAATGGGAATAACCGACTGATAAGCGGAGTGGCTTGACTGGTTCGACGGATAAAGGAGTCTATGAACGCCAAAAACGCTTATTTTATTGGTCAATGGCCAGATCAGTGGACAGTCTGGAATAGTCTCGACTGATAAGAGGGGTGGCCGGACGTATAAGGGAGTCCAATTGCTATCTTACAATTGGTTCATTTGAATTTTTGTTTTATTGTGATTGGTTTGACGGATTTCGACTGATAGCCAACTGAGCTAACATAGTCAAGCTCACTGTCTGAATTGAATGTTTGATCGTTTCATAGTAATTTTTATAAGCATGATAGAAACTAAACTACAATCAGATGGAATTTATGGAAATCGTTTGCAAATTCATATATTGACATGAATGCTGCTGTCCAAACTGTGAATTTTTTCAAGAGGGCGAAAAATTTATGGATGAATTGTAAATGTTTGGCAAAGACGATCTCGCGAGCGACATTTCAGTCATTGATGTTCAAAACAAAGCCAACATTATTTTGAGTTTTATCAGCAGAAATTTACATCCAAAATCGTAAGTAAAGGACAACTGAAGTGTATGCATGAATGTAATATATCAAAGTCAATTTATGCGAGTGTGTGATGCGATTTATGTTAATATGGCGTATGGTAAGCAGATTGATGCTTCTAAAATTGTTGTTGCCGAAGGACTTTTAGCTATGATTTCTTTAGTGCTTGGGGAATCGTGACCGTTATATGGCAGCGAAATCCTACATTCCTGCAAATATATTTCAATGGACAAAAAATCTGTAGCCATAAGGCGCCATACTATTATTTACTTTATCATAAACTAATGTTTGGGGTTTTTCAGTTTATGATCATTGATCATTCAATCATTAGACTGTTATACTACATATTGTTTAAGATTTGAGAAAACTAACATTGATTACATGAGAAACTGTTTACTATAACCTGTGATTTTGAGTCTTCTGATCCATGAAGCTTTTTATTTTGACAATTTGACTGGAATGGTATTAAACCTTAGTATTTCACATACATGAAATGTTGTCCCATGTCACATATTGCCCTCTTTTATAACTGAACACCTCATGTAGAGATGTAAATGTGTGTTAATCTACGGCTCATACCAGATTTTTTGCCATAAATTCCAAATTCCATTGATGTATGAAAAGCATTTTCTATAAAGTAAAAATGTCTTCCTATGTATGCAGATAAACCTTGAAATTTGGCAAAACAGCAAAGTATTTTTCATGATCACTAGGTAATTTTTCTGATGATCATTATAATTTCTAAACTAAATTATTTCAGATTTACATTTAAACGAGCTTTGATCATATGAAAAGATATCTGTCATAACCAGTAAGCATGACACATGACCCAATTTTAACATTCATGTAATTAAATAATTAAAGACATGTTGGTTACATTCTGTTTGTATATGATAATACAATGCTACTAGTGATTGCTATATAGCACACCTTGCAGAAGATAATAGTCAAGTGAAATGCCTAATAAACATTTATAGCATTAAGCTGTCCTTAACTGCAAATTTTCACTCTGATAATTTTTGCTTAATCTTTGGCAGAAAAAAATTTTGAGTTTTTTCTCAAAAGGTGAATTTGCTGGCACTGATGTGGAGATGGGTAAAGGGTTACAATAAACTTGCATGGTTTGAAGTCTGAGCTTTTCTTTATCTATGAACTGTCACTTGTAGTACCAAATTTCTAACTTAACTCATTACATAGAGGTTTTGAATGGGGGTCTCTAGGGGGGTCTATGCCTGACAACTTGGTAGATATTTTTAAAGACTATATCTGTTTTTGAATAGCATTATTGTAAAACAAATTTTACGTTCGTAGACATGCTAATGAGCCATATATTTGGCATGATAATGAGCCTAAATATTTGGCAAAACATTTAAGTATTGTTCACTTCATATTTTTTTGAAAAAAACGTAAGCAAAATGTGTTGTTTTTACGCAAAAACGATGCCCACGCTGAAAACGCTGAAAACGGCATTTTCAAGGCTCTGAAATTTAAAATTTCTCAGGGGAGAATGCCTCAGACCCCCCCCCCCAGGTGCGGAGCGCCTCTGACGTTTTATGACTGATGTTTGAAAAATCCTAGATCAGCCCCAGATCTTTCAAAGAATTTTCTTAATTCCACCTGCATGATCACTCATTTTATTAAACACAATGTTTCTTATAGCTTTTTTAGTTCGAGCAGCAGCTACTACTTCAGCTTTTGTTAATGCTATCTTTACACTGGTTGATCCCAAATTTAAGTTTGGTGTGATTGTGAAGGAAATAGAGGAATACCGTCAGATATTTGACCTTCCTGACTAAGCATCCAAAGAACTTAAGTCAAACGAAGAATGGCTTGCTGTTTTTTCAAAATACACTAAAGAAAAGTCACAAAGGCGATGCCTGTAATTGATGTTAAACGAAGGATATTGGATTGAAAAGATTCATTCCATATGTTGGACGGGAAGCCCTCTTTGTGCATTGATTTAGTATGCTTTATGACTTTTTTCAACGTACGTCAACGATCTACAAAAATTTGCTCTTGAGATTTGGGATGTAAGAGCAAAAAGCAGCGGTAAATGACGTGCATGTACGTTAAAAGAAATTCAAGAAAAGCTTTGAAACAAAGCTTTAGTTTTACCTCATTTTACTAAAACAAATGTCAATTACGAACAGTTTTGGTGTCAAACAATAATCTTGTTTGATCATATTTAAAACTATAGTGTAGGTACTCTTGCGTACATGTTGGTAGCTTGCAGATGTCAAAACGAGTAGTTATTAGTTTCTAATTCACATTACGTGCTCTTATTTGTGTTCATTACTATAAAAGTATACATTTTTTACATACCCGTCTTTATGCCAGTATATGGAATTTTTTCGCCAGTCACTAAAATTTGTGTACATTTTTATTCTCTGTTAATCAGATTGCTCATATTTCAGTTGTTGTCTTGCAAACGTAGGGACCAAATATAACAAAGAACATCTCTATTGAACTGCACTGTTCATCGAAAGTGACTATTAAAATATGTATTAAACCTAAAAACACGATTAATACTAAATATAACAACCTTATCTTGAATTAGACGAAAATATTTTAAAATGCACGTTTGCTTCCTTTATTTCCAAAAGTATTTATTCCATGACTCAATCATATCTTCTTAAACTTATCAGGCACGTCCTCAAACTGTGAAATTGAGTTAAGTTGAAATGCATTTATTTTGCTGTCGACGTTGCAACTTGTCCAAAACATCTTTATGCAGACGGTGTTGTTTTTCTTAAATTTCTTGTCAAAAATTTAGAGTTTATTTTCTTATAGAGCAAATTAAGCATTTTGACAAGTTAAAAATATTTTAATACGAGTTTTTCATGTTTCATTAATCTATGGCAAAATTAAGCTTTGTAATATTTAAACTTTTCTTTTACCTCCGTAGCTATTTTATGATTGGTAAATTTTTGTTCGAATAATTGACTCGTGGAAATCAAACTCAGTTGACGAGGCCAGCGTGTCAAATTTTTTATTCATTCATTCATTTAAGGCTTTATCAGGTGTTAAAGATCAAATGAGTCCGATTTTCAGTCTATTTCGATTTCACTCTTTTTTCAAACCATTTTATTTTAGGACCAAATTTTTTTTGGCAATGGCGAGCTAACGAAGAACCAAAAAATTTTTATACCAACTGTTGCAGAGGATGTCTTTGCAAAATTTAAACAAATTTTCAACCTTGTAAACAGTCGGAAGCGTAGGGTTTCGTGACTTTCGTCTGAAGGCATAGTATGATAAGGATCTCATTTGTAACTTTATGATAAAAATATCTGAAATACAAGAATGATTTCTTTTAATCGCTAGAATATGAAAATAGAAAGTACCGAGTAAAGTTTTACATTTCTCTACTAATAAATATTTGGATAAAAGTTCAAATAATTGACACACTTATTTGAATAATAATACCTTGTCCAAAGGTCATTTTTGACGTCTTGCATGATCAGGTAACTTTTATCTTACGACAGATGTTTTGAATACGTACATAATTTACAGACAGATAAAAATACTTTATACCACACCTACACAGTAAAATTTTGAGGCATTCGACTCAAAAAAAACTTTGAATCGGATCTAAGCCCTTGTCATTGAAAAAATATAGTGTAATGATGACCAATTCATCATGTAATTTGAAAAATCTTACACAAAATTGTCAGCATCGACACTTAAAATGCTATTAATTTTTCTATTACTTTTTGATTGATGGTTTTAAATCAACACTTGCATTGTATATAACCTTTATACATAACGAAATATCAAAAATACAAATGTAAAGGTAAATGTTTCAATTTCAGTCACAAAGAGTATAAGTAAATTCTTTCATTTCTTATGCATTAAATCACTCCAGGAACGAAATACCACTATTTGAATAGAGACGAACCCCCGCTGTTGCTTTTTACCGACTTCTGACAAAAACAACATTGGAACAGTCAATAATCTTGTTCAACGCTTTATATCTAAGACCTGTTTTAATTTTGATCAGATTGATCTATCCTCAAGGGTATGTATTCCTTAAAACCAAAGTTAAAATTGAAAAAAGAAGAAAAAAAGTTTTTAAATAAAGCTAAGTAACATGTCAAAGACGATGGATTTGATCGAATAAGTGCTTTGTACAAAGAACAATTCGAGAAGTGGGATAATTTAGACTTGCATTTTGCTTTATATGGTTCGAGTGAATTAGGAAAATCATCTTTCATCAATGCCATCTTTGGGTAAGTTGTTTCTGGTTTGCTTTATGATAGAAACGATGTCCATAGATAGTTGACTTGTTAAAACAAATGATACAGGTTGCGTTGAGTGCTTTGTTTATATTTATAAAATTTTTGTAAGTCTACAGTTAAAATTGTTTCACAAAGATGTGAAATCGTCATTTGTCTTTGGCATTATTTGGTAAGCATATTATATTCTAATAGCTTATTCGCAATCAATGGCAATACCATTTCTCGAGCGTTAACCAGATATTAGCCAATATATTTCAAATCAAGTAATCAGTGGAGTAAAAATGCGGTCTTAGAATATTTATGAGGTGACTTTGAAGCTCTGTCAGTGAGTGTAGGTAAGTAAGCTTTTAGAATACGGGCAATAGCGTGATTAATTGTAATTTCATCTTTCTTCATAGCAATATATGAATAGTTGTGCTATAAAAATTTGTCCATGTTACACACAGTGTTTTAGTTTAGATTGTCAAAGTGAGTTGCTAAAATGTGATACTTTTGGAACCAGCACCTTCGCTAAATATTTGTGATAAAATGTCTGAATGCCCAGAGTCAACTTAATATTTCCTTTAGCCTACTTTAAAATTCAAAATATTCCTACTTTTTTTAGATACCAAATTGACCTAGAGAGTCTTGCAAAAGTTCCTTTTGATCATCCTAATAATGGCAAAATCAAATTCAGGAATATACGATCAGAGTCGTCTTCAAAGAAGCCTAGATTTAGCACTTTAGATGCATTTCTTATATTTGTCAAATCGAGAATAACGGAGAAAGAGAAAGCAACTGCCAAGAAAATTTCAGAAAAGCATGGAATGCCGTTCATTTTTATTCTCACCCACTCTGACGAATCCAAAGATAACAAAGCAAGTCTTTTGGAACAACTTAAAAGAGATGTTGAAGGATTAATGAAAGATGAAGCTGATATTTACGAAATTAACAACCGAGATACAGCAAATCATAAAAGTCTGTGTGAAGATATTATCTCAAAGTTGGAAAAACGTCGAAAAGATTTGTTTCTGCACTCGTTGAATAAAACCATTTGTAAAAACAACGAGATAACAAAGGAATCGTTTAAACAAGCAAAGAAACAGGGTGTTCCTCATATACAGGACTTATACAGCAGTCATTTAATTGCTTCGTGGATGAACACAGAAATAAATCTTGCAATAATTGGAGATTCTGGAACAGGAAAATCATCTTTCATCAATGCTGTGAGAGGGTAATTTATCTATTACTTAAAAATCAAAATAAACTCTGGAAACTTTAATTAATAAAATCCTTTTTTATTAAATAGGTTATCTGTTTAGCTTAAAGCCTAAACCTGAAGACTAAAACTTCAACCGAACAATTTATGATTTGAATTTCTACCATTAATGAACGTAATTGCATTAACCTAAACAAGTAAAATGTAAGAATTGTTAACTATTTGAGGATCTTTCTTTTCTTCAGAATTAAAGCTTATGAGAAAGAGGCAGCAGCTGTTGATGTTACAGAAACGACTAAGAAAGCCACTAGATATTTACACCCAAAACATAAAAATATTATTTTCTGGGATCTACCTGGTATTGGAACACCTAAATACCCCAATTATAAAGAATACTGTAAGAAAGTTGGTGGTCTAGAGAAGTATGACGCTTTTCTTATTTTTTGCAAAACACGATTCACTCACTATGACAAAGTGTTGGCTGAGAAAGCTTCTAAAGATCTCGACAAACCTTTCTTTTTTGTTCGCACCAATGTTGACACCGAACTGAAGAATGCAGAAGATGACGAAGGACCAAAGTTTAATGAAGCATCTGTAATGAAACGTATGAGGGAAAATTGTTTGAAAAATCTGGAAGGTTTGATTCACGATGAGAAAGATATCTTCCTGATTGACAATAGGATAACAGAGAAATACGATTTTCAACATTTGAAGGAATCGATTGCTGAAGCGTTACCTGAGGAAAAACAAGAGAGTTTTGTTGCTTCCTTGGACAAGTCTACACATGCAATAATAAGAATTAAGGCCAACTTTTTGAGAGGTATACTCAGTTTATAACTTCTTGTTTAATATCAATGTAATTGGTAAGATTTCATTTCTATTTTTTTCAGCTCAAGTATCCAAGGTGATTGTTTTAGGCATGATTGCTGAACCTTATCTTGAAACTTTTGTGCAACTCATTTCTAAAGAAGTCACTCGATATTATCGCGTGTTTGGTTTTCACGATCAGTCAAAATCTGAGGAAGAAATTGGTGATGAAATCAAAGAGTTTTTGAAACAAAAGGCGGTTGACAAGTCACCAGCTAAAGTCCAATCGGCGGATGAATACCTTACAAAACGTATTGGTGTATTGCAAAAAAATGCTTTAGATAGAATAAACCGCAACAATTCACAACCACGCGAAACTCAATGACAGAATGACCCCCACATTGCAAAAAAACGTGTTTTTACCTGAACAGAAACGAACAGCTACGTACCGTTTGCAATTGAACGGTCGGTACTAAAATAAAATTTTTCTCCCGTATTGCACTTTTACTGACATTTCTACATACACACATATTCAAATTTATAGTATTATGATTCCTTCTTTCTTTCAACATAAATATACGCTATATAAATATTCAGTATTATAACAAAAAGACTTTATTGATATGCTGCAGTAGCTACATATTTTCACGCATTATATTTCATATAACAACTCGAAACTAAGCACCGCATGATTTATTAGCAAATATAGTGTGTATAGTTTTTCAATATATTAATTCTAAAATTGTTGCTGTTAACTTTATTATAACTCCAAGGTTATACACCATCATTGCATGGAGTTTTTCAAACGTTGGGGATATGTGATACTGGTATGCCATTAACTATGTAAATCATATTATGATATTGGAAACATTTTTGTTCAATATGTAGAAGACTATTGTATAACAAGCAGAACGATTGTATTTAGGGAAATGTTTGAGCCTCGAAGAGGACTCAAAAAGACTCAGCCCTTCTTTCTAAAATCCTATATCAAGTTTGGCAGTGGTATGTATCCAAGAGCTTTCCCCAGCCATTGTAATATATGTATCAGAGAGCTGACTTGTTAAATCCTTCAAATTTAGGTGATAATTTTTTATGCACAAGAACCCTAATCTTTCTTTTCTGCTTTTCTTAATGGTAATACTTTACTTACGTTTATTCTATTTGGCAATCTGCACCCCTCGTGATTTCATATTGTTGCGAAATACAATTTTTTAATTTGGCATCGATTTTTGTTGAAACTGCTAGACAGTTGAATGATTTAACAACAAAAAAATATGAAGGGCTTGCTGTAACTCTTAAGCTAAAAATATGAAGGGTTTATAATCAAACTTGCTTCCATGGTTTTGTTAGAAAACATGATGCAACGAGTTATCCAATCAGTAATTGACAAATCAACACTTTTGTTCTGGTCATGCAGGTTTTTTAGTAATCAATCAAGAAATTCTTTGGCAAAACATGTTTATGTGCTCGTGACATTGATTTTCCTTTTGAATATTAAAGAAATTTTCCTTAGATGTTAAAAGCAAAGTTATGTCTAATGTTTAGTTTTATGGAATCAAAGTTGTGTTAACGTTTAATTTTATGGCTGTTAGTAATCGTTGACAGCATTTGTATTGCTTTAGCAAGGGCATTTTCAGATAAAGGTTCTTTGTCAAAAGGTGAAATCTTATAATTTGTTAAGGAGTTTAGACTCCTACAACAAATCTAATGTTTGTAACAATTTATCTACAAAAAGGCCTTATTTCGAATATTTTATTTGAAAGTTATACATCACTTATACTTTTGATTAGGCCGTGATGTATAATTCGTTCCAGGAACTATTTACCATATTAAGAATGGACGCGAACCCCCACTGTTGCTTTTCAACGACTTTTTACAAATGTTATGATTAAAGTTCAACGTTCAATTACTTTGCTGAGCGTTTAGCATCGGAAACATTCCTATAAATACGATCTTGTCTATCTATCAACATGGGTTTATGCCTCTCTAAACGAGCATTAACATTAACAGAAAAGGAAGAAATTTATATCATTGAGGCTGAACAAGAAGTGAGGAATAAAGGACTTAATGGTATAAATAAATTCTACAATAATCAAATCGAGAAGTGGCATCGTGAGCTTTCCCCATTACATGTTGGTTTACTTGGATTGAGCGGATCAGAAAAATCATCTTTCATCAACGCTCTCCTGGGTAAGATGTCTAATTAACAATAAGAACGACCGCAAACATTTGACCGCTTGTTAAATAGTTTTCGTTTCACTGTGCTAAATACTTTGACAAACTTAGTAAAATGAGCTTTCGATGAACAGTTATTCACATCCAAAGTATGTAATAAATACCAGGCATAAAATGAAGAATTAAAGTCACCATGTCCACAATAATTTGTATACTTGTCTATCATAATATTCATAGCATCTGCTTCTGTAAGCACAAAGCGTGACAAAATATTCATTCTATTTCGACCTCGTGGCAGTTTTTGTTATATTAAACCGGTATTACTATATTCCTTATTGCCTTAAGAAGCAAGTAATGCAATAGCTTGTTTAGAAGCAATCATAGGTTCTTCAAAGTCTAAAGTTGACTTGAGACAATTTGTACATATTTGTGTGACACATCACAAAGTAACTCAAATGTCTTAGAAATGCTTAATTAAGCTTTAACAAATTTCGATCCTCAGGAAAATGTGCATTTAGGCCTAGTTAGAACGTCGAACTTTACATGAACCGAACGTATTTAAAACAAAAGTTAATGAGGAAGTTCATCTCATTTATTTTGTTTTTAACCGTTTGAAATACATCATATTGAAAGATTTTATTCTTTGTAGATTTGAAGATGGCCACGACAACTCGACAGATGCATCCCCTACAGAAAGAACAAAGTATTCTCAGTTGAATGATCCAGAGTAAGTCAGAATGCATTACATCTGCTCATTTTAAATTTAAAATACTAACAACACGAAATTCATTAAAAAACTTGAAAAGCAATTTAGAGCCAAATCAAATTATCATTAATAAGAGGGTTTGTAAAGTATTTTAATTTGAAATGCATCCAATTTAATGCATTCTTTCTTATCCTGCATCCGCTACTGGTATTCTCATCCTTCCTCGCAACTATAGATATAAAAACGTTCGCTGTTGAAATATCTATTGCATTATTGTTGTTGGTTGTTTTAAACTTCGAGTGATCTTGTATGTTTCTTGTGACTGAAAGCACTTGTATGTGCAATTTCTTTGCCAAATTAAAATTCATATAGTTCTTAAAGTAATGTATATTTATTAATGCTTTTTCTTTAGACTTATATCTGACAAAAAGAAAAAAAGAATCCTGCAACTTATCTTTCTGCTGAAAACAAAAACATCATCTTCTGGGATTTACCTGACATCAAAACATTAACTTGTTCTTCATCATCATCCCTTTGTTGTTTAGTACCTTGTTCAATATTCTGTTGTTTACCATCAAGATGCTGTTTTCCATCTAATGCGCCTTGCTCAAAGTCGCCTTGTGCTGAGAATTTTGACGCATTTTTCATTTTTTTCAAATCAAGAATATCTGATATAGAGAAAAAAATAGCCGAAAGTGTTTCAAAAAATCTCCGCAAACCTTTTATTTTCGTTTGCACCCTTGCTGAAGACGACAAAAAAAATTTCAAAAAAGATGAGGAAGCTATGCTGAAAAACATCAAAACAATATGCTTTGATTTTGTTAAAGATTTGGTTATGGATGAATCTGATATTTTCGTAATCGACAACAAATTCATGAATAAAAATCTGTTTGAAGATATCATCCTGAAGCATATCAAACGTCGAAAAGACTTGTTTGTGAATAATTTGAATAATGCCATTTTCTTAAATACTAAGGATACCAAAAAAATCTTTCAACAAGCTCAGAGACACGGTGTTGATAATATTCTGGATTTTTACAGCAGCGATTCAATTCCTTTGTGGACTGACACAGAGATAAATTTTGCCATAACAGGAGACTCTGGAACAGGGAAATCATCTTTCATCAACGCTGTGAGAGGGTAATAATGTTTTTCTTTAAGTATTGAATAAATTGATTTAAAAGCTGTATTTTTACTAAACAGTGAAATATTAAAAGAGTCAATAACAGCCAGTAAGATAGATTAATGTCTTTGGAAAACATTGTCTTTGTTCTAAGAAATGTGTAATAGTCTTCAGTTTGCTATAGTTATATTCCCACATTGTTGTTTAACGTAATTTTCATAAGCTTGATAATCGCTGGATGAAATGTTTAAAATTGCTAAGTTTTGAGCACTTTACTCGTACAATTAACCAAACAGCTGCTAATTTCATATGGTAGACATTAATTGTATGCAGTATAGAGAGGTCTTTTTAAAAGGTAACAGACAAGTATATCTCGACATAACTAAATTTACAAGAATTTATTTCCTTCAGAATTAAAGCTTATGAGAAGGGGGCAGCAGCTGTTGATGTTACAGAAATGACGAATAAACCCACTAGATATTCACACCCAAAACATGAAAAGATTATTTTCTGGGATCTACCAGGTATTGGAACACCTACCTACCCTAATTATAAAGAGTACTGTAAGAAAATTGGTGGTTTAGAGAAGTACGACGCTTTTCTTATTTTTTGCAAAACACGATTCACTCAATATGACAAAGAGTTGGCTGAGAAAGTTTCAAAAGATCTCGACAAACCTTTCTTTTTTGTTCGCACCAATGTTGACAACGAACTCAAGAATGCGGAGGATGACGAAGGACCAAAGTTTAATGAAGCATCTGTCATGAAACGTATGAGGGAAAATTGTTTGAAAAGCTTAGGAGATTTGATTCACGATGAGAATGATATCTTCTTGATTGACAATAAATTTACAGAGAAATACGATTTTCAACGTTTGAAGGAATCGATTGCTGAAGCGTTACCTAAGGAAAAACAAGAGAGTTTTGTTGCTTCCTTGGAAAAGTTAACACATACAATAATAAGAATTAAAGCCAACATTTTGAAAGGTATGACGTTGTGAAAGAAGTTTTTGGTTGAAAGTTTGTCTTTTGTTTTGTGAAATGTAAGGAAAATTTTAATACACAATAATCAATGATATTTTGCATACTGAACGATCGAGGCTCATGTTCCACATCATTGGTTTTTTGCGTAAATTGTTTGTTTGTTTGTTTTTTGATAATGGTGTTACCAGTATAAGATGAAAGTAATCCCAATAAATTATTTACTAGTTACTTTATAAATAGTTACTTTGCACTGGAAACTAGAAAAAATAAATGCACAATTTTTCATTCTCTTGTTAGATCTTTGAGTACGAATTTGCCTTATTACCTACCTGATAAATAGTTTGTTTGACGTTTTAAATTAAAACCGTATACATGCATTCGCTATTCACTGCAACCTTTAAAATGTAACTTTAAAACGAAGGCTTATTGACTAAACCATTAAGAAGTGCATTGCTTTTTCAACATAAATATAGAACGGGGGCAGGGTTGTAACAATTTTTGTGTTCATTATTTTTATTTTATTTTTTTAGCTCAATTATCCAAAGTAATTGTTTTACTGATGATTGCTGAGTCTGAGCCTGAAGTCTTTAAGAATCTGATTTTGCAAGAAGTCATTCGATATCATCGTGTGTTTGTACAGCTTGGAAAAAAAGAAGAAGAGCTCCTCAAGAATGAACACCTTAAAGAAATAGAACAAGAGCTCAAGAAAGAAAAGTCTGTTGGAAATTCTAAAGATGAAGAAAACATCGAGGAAAGAAAACCAGAGTCTGTTGGAAATTCTATAGATGAAGAAAGCATCGAGGAAAGAAAACCAGAGTCTGTTGGAAATTCTGAAGATAAAGAAAGCATCAAGAAAAGAAAACCAGAGTCTGTTGGAAATTCTATAGATGAAGAAAACATCGAGGAAAGAAAACCAGAGTCTGTTGGAAATTCTAAAGATGAAGAAAGCATCGAGGAAAGAAAACCTGTGTCTGTTGGAAATTCTATAAATGAAGAAAGCATCGAGGAAAGAAAACCAGAGTCTGTCGTAAATTCTATAGATGAAGAAAACATCGAGGAAAGAAAACCAGAGTCTGTTGGAAATTCTATAGATGAACAAAGCATCGAGGAAAGAAAACCAGAGTCTGTTGGAAATTCACATGCTAAAGTGCAATGGGCGTATAATTATCTCATAGATTGCATCAACAATTTGGAAAACCAACTTGCATGCAAGAACTAACTTCCAAAATGTTTTCCACATTACAAAATATTGCTAAGTCAATCAGTAGACAGCACGAAACATATTAATCTCATCTTAATATATCTCTATATCTCGCGTTTCATCTCAAATTAATAAATGCACATAGTATAAAATCTTGCCATTAAAAATATAGTTGTTAGGGTGTTTTTTAATGACAAAAACACTAAGATTCAATTCTTCTGTAATTCTCTTTTGACTTTGCACGAAATTTGAGGTTCGAATAAAGCACACAAAATTTGCTATTTTTGATTTTGTTGACAACATCGTCACATAGCTTTCACAGCTCGAACGAAATTAGAAAATTAAAGCGTGATTTGCAAATACTCATCCAAGTAGATTCACTCGTTTCAGTCACACTAGAACGCAAGCTCATTCGAGGGTGCTTTATCAACGCGACTGAATTGGCTCATTTAAGACGACTCAAACGACTTTTTGAGAACCAGCATGTTAGTAGATGTAGATTGTGTGCGTTTTATCAAAGTCCTGAGAAGGACTGATGATCAGTGTTGATGTTGACTACCGTTTTGACAATCTTATTGAACAATAAAAAACATTCACCGTCCACAAAGCAGGAGTACACAAGACATGAGGCGAATTCTTGAACCTCCCCGTTAATTCTTGTTGCTATCCTTTTTTGAAAAACTTTATTTTCCCATTCATCAGCATGGTCTGCTAGTTACGTCATAGCCGCCATGTTGA